GTGTGTGTGTGTGCGCGCGCGTGGGGGCATTTGACCAGCTGGAAGGACTTGTCCGACAACCCTTTCGAAGTCTGGGACCTGGCTGGTCTTATGTCCTGCAGTTGTGTGCGGCGCGGCAACGGTGCTTAGTTAATCCCACGACCTTCAGAAGTGTCGGTTGTGGAGCAGGTGCGATTCGCGTTGCACGAGCTCAGGGAGTGCTGAGCACCTAGATGCGGAACTCTGTGTGGTGTTGGCTCAGCGCGAGGGTCAAACAGCGTAGCATAACACAGCGATTGAGTTGGCAGGTCTTCTAAGAGCTCTGCTTATCCGCAAGCTACCAGACTGCCTTTGTTTTATTTGGTCTTGGCTTGCCATGGCGGTCAACGAAGACAAATCATTAAACAAGACGGTGTCTGATCCTCAAGGTTCGCAAGCATCATGCAGAACTACAGGTAACACAGGCGTGCACCCTGTTGCGTCGGTGCCCAGGCGAAGTGACGGCGAAGAGGCTCAGGCCTGCCACGAATACCAGACAAAACGCTGTCCGTCAGCACTCTTGAATGTGAACTGATGGACACAAAGCTCTTGTCTCAAGCAGAGCTAAGAATAGCCGTACAGCATCGCTATTCCTCAAATTCAATAGCTATCCTTTGGAGCAGATGGATGTCCAAACAAGGGGCGCTACTCAGAACTCGAAGGTACTGGCAAGATAGGCCATAGGAGCATTCCACGAACAAGTGACCGGCAGTGCCACACAGGTGAAGCTCTTCAGCTTCTTCGAGGAACTTGCCGAGCCGGTCCGAAAGCAGGTGTCCGAGTGAACGCTGCCAGCTCTCTGGCCAAAGGCCATGGCCGATAGCAAAGTGCCTGTCGAGTCGTGGAGTGTCGAGGTTGGTGCAAACGGCCTGGCGGTCAAGAGGGAAGCTTGTACACGATGTCAAGGCCGCTTCGCACATGGTCATGTCGTCGCTGGGCTCTGGTGTGCAAAGAAGGCCTATGTTCTTCTCTTTACGAGCATGGTCTGTTCCATGCCTGCTCGCGTGCTCCAAACTCAGTCAGGAATGGAGCCAAGAGAACCTGAGCTCACGTGTTGCCGGCCAGGTTGCGTGTGATTCAGAATCCCAAGCTGCAAGCTCTACTGGCAGAGGAGGAGGACGGACTCTGACGGAGTTTAGGGATAACATGTGCACTACGGATAGGCTCCATGCAGGACCCACAGGCACTTGCAGCTGTGGTTGCCGGAACCGGAGGCAGGAGTGCATGTCTGCAAGGTTTTTTGAAAGTCTCTTGCTTTCTTGCGGTGCCAAGAGTCCAAACCTGGCCAAGCTTATTCAAGATTGTCTGATCAGCCCAGCATCAACCTTTAATAGCAGGTGCACTTTGTCTGGGTTCAGTGGGAGCAGTGTGTTGCCTAGCACGGCCCACCGCTGTAACAGTATCCGTGTCGGAATCCAGGATGTAGCAGCATGCGCTTGCGGCTTGCGAGGTGATTGGAGTCACAGTGGGTGCTGCAGTGGGACTTTGCATCGGAGCAGACTTCTCCTCAGCCTCAGTCTCGCCGCCGTCTCGTAAACAGCCTGCCATAGCCTGCCAGCCAAGGTTCCTGCTCTTTTCACCTTCGGCTTGTCGCTGCCACTGGGAGCTCTGTCGGGTGCATCAGACCCTTTTTGCGAAGGAAGCGGACATCATGACAATACTTTGTGCGCTGTTAAAAGGTTGGGCGGATCTGGCGGCCTTCTCGCTGGGGCTCGGGTCCCGGCAGTTGCACCTGCACCGTGCCATACCGTGCCACACCGTGCCTCTGTTTGCGATTTCGATCCAAAGGCTTTCACGGGAAGCTCTGCCGGCTTTGCCGCGCACTAAGAAGTCGCGACATGAACACTGCTGGAGGGTTCAGGTGAAGACAGGCGCGCTTGGCATCCAACTCAGGTTTGCTTTGAACTCACTGCTGCATTGATTGAGGTTGGTGGCGCAACGAGTGGTCCAAGCCATACACTGGAGTCATGAGCCACAACCACTATCGCAGCAGAAGCGAACGTCCTGGCATGCTGAGGCACTTTTCTGGCCTACTTTCGATCCGAGCCGCGGCCAAGGGCATGCTGCAAACATGCAACATTCTGATCCTCTGATGCCAAGGATTAGGCTCGCAGTTGTCATCGTCAGTGCCAAAGTTTACGATGTCTACCATGTCATAGCCAGGTCCTTAACACCACTGTGCTAGAAAGTGCAGCAGACACCCTGCAGGTCTGAGTCGGACGTTGGACTCAGGTCGTGCGACCTACGAACGCAGTCAAGGCTCGGTCGTGGGCAAGTTCCGTGCTTTGCTTTGCATGCGAAGCACCAGGCAGCAAATCGCAAAGTTCGCGATGGGGTGCACGTCTCCGCCGCGTACACGCAGGAAAAGGCGTGCTCAGCTCGTGCTGCGTGAAAGGAGTTCTCCCAACTTCTGCAGAAAGGGTCCTTGCTCAGGCTAGGGCAACTGCAGACTTTGTCAAGACTGCGGCTTCCAATCGGCACGTTCAGGACCGCGACTTGCAGAGGGGTCTCTGGCTGCTCGGTGACCTTCGCCAAGGTGTCGACGGCTGGCGCTGGCTTTGGAGCTGCTGCATTGGGCACTGCAGGGGCGGCAAGTGGTGTCGCCGCCTCGAGAGAGGCGAAAGACGAAAGGGAGAGAGCAGAGAGACCAGCAGTACGGCGTGCAGATGCGTGCAGATGCATACAGCGTGGACGTATGTGGACCCAAGGCTTGTGTCGGGGGCACTGCCTGGGCCCTGTGTGGATGCATCCTTCTTGCGTGCGTTTTACTTGCTTGAGGTAGGTGCCTTGGTCGGGCTGGTGCCTGCGGTATTTACCTTTGGCCTCTCCATTCCAATCGGTGGGCAAGCCAGAAAGATCTTTGCTTTTCTCTGCGAAGTCTTTGCGCATCCCAACGCAGAGGTGCCGCTGTGGGTGGCTCTACCGGCCTCTTTGTTGGTGGAGCTGCCAGATGCCCAGAGATTCCCAGAGATGCAAGGAGATGCCCAAGAATCAGAGACCTGGAAAGTCAATCGCAGTCACAAGGCTGGCTGCAGCTTGGGATTTGCAGGCCGTGAGCAAGCTGCTTGAACTAGAAGAGTGACCTGTTGGCAAAATGGGGTTCTGTGACAGGGTATGGCTTGGGATGAAGTGACGGGAGTGGGTGATGTTTCAACTTCCTGGCTGTATCTGCGCTCCAAGGACATATTGTATCTCGGTTCTTTGCGTGTCAACCAGCTTAAACCACGAAGGATTTCGCGAATCCTGCTGCAACGTGCATGACTTGCGTGTGCCCGGACTTGCTGGAATTTTACTGCACGATGTTCGAATCCTGAGGATGGGTAGAGAGCACCACGAAACTCAGCAAGCGCCTTGCAAGAGGGAAAGGAACCAGTCCAACAGGAGGTTGGAGCAGCACGTTAATCACGACGGCTAGCGTAGCGAGGCTTTCGTCCTCCAGCCTCGGCTAGCTTTCGTTCCCCTGGCCCCACGCCCCAAGTGTCAACATCCAGTGCAGAGTCTGTGCAGTTTTTTTCCGTTTGCAACGGGTCGAAGTAGACCAGGGGGTAGCCCAACCTCGCATGTAGACTTTACCGCGGCTTCAGAAACCCCCATCTGGGTAGCGTGTGGCTCTGCCTTGGTCAGATACACGTCCAACAGGGGGTCTCGGCATCTTCGCCCTCTTTGACATCGTGCCTGCGTAGAAATGCGAGCTCAGAAACTTATCGAAGGAGGTGCCCTGCGTCGTCGGTATTGAAACGGCAGGCAGGGCAAGACAATCACCGGCAACATGCGTGGTGCTGCGAATCCCCTCGACTATCTCGGCCTGCGAGGACGGCCTGATACTCCCTTTCCCAAGAACGGCTGGGGCAACACTATCAAAGCTTCGTGCGTGGAGGGCGAATCTGTGCCGAGGGGGGAGGCTAGATGGATGCAAGCAGGCCAAGCTCAGCCATTTTACAGCGAGGCGTGCGAACGCCGCGGCCATCAAACCCATGCCGAAGGAGGTCCGCGTGAAAGGAGGGTTAACAAACCTGAGACCAAGAAAAGCAGCTCAGGCGCAGGGAAGCTGAAGCTCTTCGGAAAGTGAAAGTTGCAGGACGTTGAATCGAAATTTTCAGCTCCGATTCATCGAGACCTTTGCGCTGCCTTCGCTTCGTGCTCCTCGAAGGCTAATCACCTTACGTTCCTGCCGGCCTGTGTCGACACTTGTCGACGCGATATGTTGATTAGTCAGCGGGATCGAAGGATGTGTGGTAAAAGAACCGACATGGCATCTAGCTGATATCACCCAGACTGTATGTGACTGATTGTGACTGTATCACCTCAAAGGCCGATGGAGTGAGTGATGGAGTGAGTCCGGCGACAGCTGGACTCAAGCCCCAGGAAAGAACGACAAGAAAGACGAGAGAGCAGTGGGCGCATGTCTGCGTGTGTCCGCAGGAGGGCGGCGGGAGCTATGCAAGGCCAACAAAATCAACAAATAAGAAGAACACTGTAACAAGGCACAGGAGTGGAGAGGCTGAGAGGGAGACAAAGTAATAGAACAGCGGCAGATAGGGTGGGCCGGTTGGCTCCTCGTCAGTCTTTTGTGCTTCTTCTTGCATACATTTTGGACAGGGTATGCCACGGCAAGGTGCACCCAAGAATGCGTGCGCTTCTTGCTTCCACGGTTTGTGATGTGAATTCTTTTCAGCCCGATCGAAAACATCAAAGCAAACAGTATCAGTATACTGCCAGTGTGCAACGAAGTCTAGTTATGCATCATGGCACAAGCTTGCAGGTACACCAGAGTGGCCGACTTGAACTTCCCACACCGCTGGTAGCTTCATTGAGTCCCTGCTTGTGTGCTGCGTCCCCCCAGCAAACTCACACATGTTCGCACGCTGTGACAAACTATGCATCAGGCCTTGGTCGGATTGCGAGGGAAGTTCCGAAAGTCTACGCTCAGAGCCGCATCGAAGACTAACCACCGCATACCTTCGAACCGTAGGTCATTGGAAGTGTAGATATATATATATATATATGGGCGCGTGGTTATCCCCCCCCGCATGTTAGCATCTTCGGTACTGCGCCCAATGCAATGTACTAACAAGTAAGTAGTTAGTGACAGTACAGATGCTCGTAGACAAACAAGCCCATGTAGGCACCTCAGATGCTTCAGCAGCAAC